CCCACTGTCTATACACACATTACCGCGTCACGTTGTCCCCCTCTTTTATATACCCGACTACCCTATATCTAGTAAATACTAGAGCATTCGCCAAAGTACAGGATAGTTCTAGAAACGTGGCATCACAGTAGTCATGTGACTAGCTGACGCAACACTAGCAACAAAATATATAGAAAACCAATGAGTCAGACAGTTTGGATATGTAACATGCATGACCTCCAACCAACAAGATGGGTGAATGGGGTTTCTGAAACCTTATGTTGATATGACAACATCCTCACAGAGGCTACCAAACTCACCTAGGAAAGATGACGTGATACACCCACAAAAATAAGCAGTAGATAAAATATTGTTACATTATCGTCTTGGCAAAGTACTTATCCGTGAGGGTGGAAATAGAACCTTGTGAGGTTGATATGACTAGTAAAAAAAATTACACAATTATGCCTCCTCCAACAACTTGAAATGTTAAAACACAAGCAGGGTAAGTTATGTGTTCACCAGTAGTTGACAATATAATACAGTTTGGTACCATATGTTAGCTACCCTCATTAGTTAAGATGTTAATTTTTTGAAACCTCTGTATTTTAGTTCAGTTTGGATGCAGAGTCGCTCAAGTAAACAAAAACTTTCCTTATTCTAATATCACACCATAAGGCATGTTCTTTTACAAGGAAGATTACCATTACTTTGCCTGTGGCATCATGAAATGGACAGCTATCTTTTCTGTAACTGAATCAGGTAATGGCCTAGAGCTACACTACCCTTGAACTGTAGTGGGTGATATGCACAATGGGCGACTTTTGGTATTTAAAGCCAAGTTCTCCCCTATATTCTAAAAAAGTTAAATAAAAAAAATAAAAAAAAACGAAAGATAAAGTTTAAATAAAGAAAAAAAAATAACGATAAGATAAGGACTGTTAAAAGTTAATTATTGCAGAACCTGTTGAAAAATCTAAATCTATGCACTGGGATTTACAACCACCACCATAGTTTTGGTAATGTCACACATATTCTCTTTTAACCGCCACTGCTGATGGAATCTAATGACAGATGCATTTAAACATCCAGAATTCCTTGATTTTACCTACTGTTTTGCAAATAGACATGAAAGAACTATTTCTGAATTTATAAAGCTCAAGCAATCACTCAAGAATCACTATTTTGTATATACAAAGAAATTGAGTATTTAACAAATGTGTAAGGACATCCTAATAAACTGGCAAGTCTGTGTATAATTCAGATGGCACAACAATCAGCAAGTGCAGAATCATGCAACTTAATCAATAAAAGGAAAATAACTGCCTGATTAATCATTATAAAACACTGAATTATCCTCAGTGTAATAAGTAAAATTTAATGCTGTAAAGTGATATAAAAATTACAGATCATCTTCCTCAGGACTCTTGCTTGAATCATTAAATGATTTAATGTATTTTTTAAGCAAAGAAGGTAAAATGCTTCAACTTCATGATAATAAATAATGACAACCATCTACCCTAAATACATAAGAGGATAGCTTTGTATTTTTACAGTTGATGTTTTTGAACGTTTACTTTATCTTGAATATTAA